CTTATTTCTACGATTTCTGCTGCTTTGGTGCAATAGTCCCCAGCATTCGTAGATATTACTATCCTTCATCAAAGTTAACTTCTAGCGACTCACCACAGGAATGTTCCTCCATCTTATCAGTATGTGATCTTAATCAGTATGGTTTAAACCGGTGTCTGGAATGCCTCCGATCAAAGTTCGATTGACCTTGATTTCGGGATATAGAAGATGTCGATATAATTACTTGATCATCTTCTACGCGAATCTTTGAGTCGTACCTATTATGAACATCCTCCCACGTTGTTTCTTGAAATTCCAACAAACTCTCTTTCAACTTCCTTGAGGCATCGGGCTCGAGGGATTAAGACCTTTGGTAAATGATTCCGCCACCCATTCATCCGGTACTAGCGGCAATAACATTCTATCTGTTTGGAATCGGATAACAGATTCTCGCAGCAACTCTGAGTTTCCTTGAGCAATTCTGAAAACATTTGCTTTTCTAGATTGAACTTTCCTTACTCCAGCGTGAGATTTGATGAAAAAACCTGCAAGTATTTCAAAAGAATCATTTAAGGTTTCAGGTAAAAGTGAATACCATGTTAAAGCCCCTTTTGTTAGGTTTTGCCAAATTTCTTTAGTAAAACTGATTCGATCTCATGCGGAGCCAAATCATTTCCCTTCACAACTACGATATAGGTTGTGATGTGTTCATATGGATTCGATGTTCCATCATATTTTGGAATATCCGACATCTTGAATCTCTTTGGAATTAACTCCGGAGCCGCACTGGGTTTAAACGGAAACTATATATACTTCTTCGAATCTGGGCCCTTCAGGACTGGAGGTGCTCCCGGAATCTGCTCTATCCGAGCATGAAATTCCTTAGAACTCTGTTCCATTCGAGCATTCATTTCCCTCATGAGCTCGGTCTTGAAAAGATCATCTGTGTTATTTTCATTTTCAGATTTGCTGCTTGTATCGCCTACTTGGTTGTTATTCGATCTGAACTCCTCCCTGTTAATGATGTTACCGGCTCTCGGTGTTGTTTGATTTATAGGACCGCTAGGAGGGGCTCTAAATTCACCATTGGAATTATTGGAAATAACCGAAAGTGCTTGCTGGAGCTCAGTCATTATCCGATCCTGTCTTCTGAGATGATTCATGATCTCCCTTTGTTGCGCTCTCAAAATTTTAATAGTATCGGCAATGGGTTCATCATCCATATCATCTGGAGTAAGACTCATTTCCCGCCGAGTATTTCTTTTTACTCGGTTAGGAGTTGACTCATTCCCATTGAGACAGGTTTTACTGGTTGAACCATCCTGTTGATTTCCATCATGGAGATTGTCCACGGGCTCGTCGTTGTTGTTTGTTCCAACATTAAGCGAGTTGTTGACATCATTGGGTTCCATAGTCGTTTTATGCTTACAATTGAAAAGTTTCAAAGTACGTTAGTAAAGGATGAACAGATCAAAATAATACCACAATTGTCTAAGCTCCACGGTGGGCGCCAAATTATTTACCCATAAAATAATACAATTGAGTTTGTAACGTGATTTATAAAAACGTGCATTGAATTGATCCGATAAAATAAAATAATGAAGTGCAAATAGAGTAAATAAGAATAATTGAAGAAGAGACAAGCCTGAGCTTCAGAATGTTCACACGTACCGGGATCAAGAATAATTGGAAAATCTCGACAATACTTGTATAAAGCTTGAAAGAATGAGAAAATATTAGTATTTTACTATCAGTATTTCTCCATACTTACAATAGAATGAAAGCTTCTATTTATACTAGAGCTAAGGGGTGCATGATTACAGATTATACTCCCTTAATTACTAATATTAATGCTATAATAAAAGGTAATTAAGTGGTGATCGTAAAGAATAATAAAGGGCAATAAAGCCTAATAAAGGCCGAAGGAATCTCAGGGTCTTCTGTAATATTTCTATAACGGTCATATCTTGAATTGCTTCTTATTCGGCCACAGGTTTATATCCGATGTCACCATGGTTGAGTCATTGCTGACTGATCATCCTTGACACATTTCGCTTCCTAATTTACTCAACTCTTTAGACCGGTTTTTACCGTTTACCGAGTGTTGATAACATGGCGGCTTAGTACTAGTTGTTAAATTTTATGAACAATTAGTCACTCAAACTTTTATTATGAAAAATGTTCTCTCTATACATAATTTTCTGAAAAATATTTTTCGATATTTGATTATTGATTGAAAATCAATTTTAAGAGAAAGGTATATATCAAAAGAATAATAATAATAATAATAATAATAATAATAATAATAATAATAATAATAATATTATTATTATTATTATTATTATTATTATTATTAAATCGAGAGTGATTTCATGAAAATTTCACTATCATGCATTGTCACAAGAAAGAACAAGGAATTTCAATGGGATAATTAAGTTTTGTGTTACCCACTAATGACACGTAAATGAAACAACAAGTACTGACCTATAATCATGTTCAACTTGTCATTTTTCAAGCACTCCATTCACTGGATATAGCTAATAAACAGTTTAAAGCAAATTGACTTAAATTAAAGATCCTTTTTTCGAAATCAACATTTTTCCAATTGTTTGCTATGTATGCCCGTGAACAATCTTAAGAAATATACTTCATTCAACGACAAATCGTCAGAATATTTTAGGTACAGAATAAAGTTAACAAAGATCATTAACCAAAAGCGTCTTGTTATTTGAATATTCCCATTGTTTTCTGTATCTTTCTATAAAATAATAAAAATTCAAACAAACTTTAGAATAATTAGACATTAGAAGGAGCATAAAATCTTGTCGAATCTCGTGTCTTTTGGATGTCCATTTCCTAAGTTTATTAAAAGAGATAGAAGGAAATTAAGGAGTCATACGAAATAGCCTAATTTCAATTATTGGAATAATTATAATGAATATAAAATGTCACAGGATTTTTTTTATTAAACAAAATTCCTTATGTTGCAAGGCAAGAATATTCTCCTAGTACCCATGGTTTTCAAATGCACCAGTCAAGATATTGTTTTTTTTTTCCCTTCCTTTTTCTCTTGTTAATTTTACTCTATTGGTGTTTGACGTTTGGTATGAAGTAACATGATTTTTATAGAAAATATATTTTATGAGGATATATATGTTTCACCTTAGAATATATGACTTGCACTAATAATATGGTATGGAGAATGTGGCATAGTTTTTTTGTTTAAGAATTATGTTTATATATTGTTTGAAGTAAGTGCGCGAATCTGGAATACTGAGGTCTCAATGCTAATATCGGACACCGAATGGAAAATAAAAGAAGTGACGTCAAACTTGAGCTAAAATAAATAAGAATATTTAATGACTTAACATGATAACGTATCATTTTAACGGTAGGTTAAAAATATCACTTTGTTGGTCATATTAAGAAATAAAAATGCCTTAATTGGCAGACTATTCTTTTTTAGTTTGTGACCAGTCAATAGCAGAAAACCCAGCATAAATCTTAATAGAGTATCGATTATCCAAACTTATTTAAACCCGTGAAATAAGGACTTAATCCTTTCTATTCTGTTAAAAGATTTATTATGATTAATCAAAGTGTAATATCCAAAATATTTAGACACGGTGCACACATGTTTCAATTAAAATTTCCTTTTTTAAAACAAGAAAATACCGTTTCATTTAGACAAAAAAAAAGATTTTTCTTTTCCTAGCTAAATACCCAGATCTAAAAGGAAATTAAAACAAGAAAAAAGAAGGTTTTTAAAATATATTACTGATAATTGTTTTTTTTTTCTATTCCAAATAATATTTTTTTCTTTAAAATTCCTGATATTAACAAAAGCTTGGATTGGAATTGCATGACCTGGTACAGTTAATGTGTGATCAATGATCATAGATCTGATCATTTATTATCGTCACTTTAGTGATTTGCTTATTTAATTATCTTGGCAAAACAAATTAATGCGACTTACTATAGACAAAAAAAGATGGAAGTATTACTTTTGTATGTCTCGTTTCAGAAAAGGATAAAACAAACGCGAAAGTGCCCCCATGCAGGATCGAACTACAGACCTTCAGTTTACAAGACTGACGCTCTACCACTGAGCTATAGGGGCACTTGCGTGAAGTTATTGAATTTGTTTTATTAATCAGTAAAATATATTGGTGCTTGGCAAAAGCAGTGTTTGAAAGGAGCAAAGTTTGAAAAAACATAAGCATGGACCATTACTTGATTTTCTAAAAGGCTTGTGCAAGCCCAACTCTTCAATACAATATCCTCATTTCTCATTTGATCTTTTAATACTTTGGCTTTTGTTTTCAATTATTATTATCAATATTTTTAGTTCCTTTATGTTTTGTCTATGGATAATAATATCATCTTTTTAACAATTTTTGAGTAGCTTGAAAACAATATTTTAAATTGAAGTTTTGGTGATTTTCCTTATTCACCACGGAAGTAAAGAAAAGTTGGAAAATAAAATTGACAAGTCATACCACCTTTTTGTGGTAGTAATACGTTTGAGTTTAAGTTCTATGCACATGTAAATAATTTTTACACAATCAGATCACTTATTAGGTAATCATAAGTGAATATCTTAATAAACATTAGTTGATAATTTGATAAAAATGATAATTAACATGTTATTATAGGTCAAAACTCGCTAATTAACATGTAAACTGCAATGAATAATATTCAAAAGAAATCAAGAAAATGCATGATGATTTTCATTATATTGCTACTGATTGTTGCCACTGTTATTGTGCTCTCTGTTCTCATTTTTGAAGAATTGATCATTCACGCAGTTATGAGTGTTTCTATCCTGTCATTTTATGGCTAAAAAGTCATTAAATTTTTGCTGAGATATATTAGTTATGATACTTCTCCAGTGGCATAGAACATCAGTTCCCGTGATATGGTAAAGCACCTATTATTCTTGTAGGTAAAATCCATTCAGCAGCTAGAAATTGGAACAAGCACAATATCTTTATAATTCAAATTGAAGTCCAAATGGAGATACAATATCCTTTGTAAATCAAATTAAAGTCCAAAAACAAATAAATTTTCCCAGATTGATTTGAATCCCCGCAGAATTATTGAAAGCTGAAATATGTTATTCTACTTGCATTCATACTCAAAAGAACATATTTTTCTTCTACATTCCTGCCTTTGCAATCACCATATTTCCATCACCCAAGTTTGTTGCTCCTTCCCTTGTCCATTTTTCCTCAAATTGTTCCTCAGTCACCCCTGCAATTGCAAAATAAGACACAAAATTCTCTATGTTATTAATCATCTGTAGTAAAGTTGTACAACAACAACAATAATAAACGACTACTTTAACTTATATACACTCCCAGTATAAATAATTTTTACACTATCAAACGTACTTTAACCTATTATAGCATGTGATCTGTCTTATTTTCCACGTTACTAATTCAGTGTTGCTGGATATGAAATTATCTTTTATGTGACATGGAAGGGGAGCCTTGGCGTAAGCTGCCACGTGGAAATAGCTTCTTGCAGAAATGCAGGGTAAGACTGCATACAATAGACACTTGTGGTCCGGCCTTTTTCCAGACCCCGCGCATAGCGGAAACTTAGTGCACCGGACTACCTTTTATAAGATCTAATAAAAGTTCAGAATATAGTACAGCAGTTAAACTCATAACAATATATTTGTATAGTACTTAAAAATGTGNATTGTGGGATTCTACTGGGTTTATTGTTGTTGTTGAAGTTAAACTCGTAACAATATATTTGTATAGTAATAATGTGAGTTTAGGGGAAGATGTTACCTTTGCCCATAGCAGCAGTAGAGGTGATGCCTCCTTGTACAGTCCTAAGAACTCTATCATAGTAATTAGCACCAGACCATTTCTGATGAGCTAATGTATCAACTCCATGTTTCCTCTCCTCTCTTCGTATTTTCTCAACATATGCCAACATTCCTCTCTTAGCAAAATCCTTAGCAAATGTATCAACAATTAAAGCATCAGCATGAAAACCAGCCAATGTAATAAACTGCCAACAGTAACCTAACTTGGCGATTTTCGGAATAAAATCCATCATTTGAAAATCATTCATTCCTGATGAATCCCAATTGAATGAAGGAGACAAATTATAAGCCAACATAATTTCAGGCCTCATTGACTCAACTCCTCCAGCAAATTTTGTGCACTCAACCAAATCAGGACTAGCAGTTTCCATCCAGATAATGTCAGCGTGGTTCGCGAAAGCCCAGCCTCGAACGATAGCAGCCTCTACAGACCCTTTAAACCTATAAAACCCTTCTCTAGTTCTTGGCAAATCCCAGTCAAAGAAAAGATTAGAAAGGCCTAATCTTTCAGCAATTTCCCTGCCTTGTTCTAGTGAAAGACACTTTTCATAGCTTGAATAATGCATCCATTCATTCAATTTTCTTTCCTTTTCGGACCCCGAAATGTTCATTTTATTTATTGCATCAACAACACATTCAGAAAATGTCTTAAGTTGTGCCATTGCTGTCCAATTATCCTCAATGGCTTGAAGTTCTGGTCCTGTTTTGCCAGCAGCCATTGCTTCAGATAAAATTGTGGCCAAACTCTTGCCTTTGAGATTTGGATTTGTTGCTCCTAAAATTAACTGGTGATCCCTTGTATCAACATTGTTTTGGATCAAATTTGCTGCTACTGCATCAGTTCTTGCCACAAGAACTGTCTCCACTCCCATAATATCAAATTGCAGCCTTGCAGCTACTAGCCTGTCAACAGAGGTAGCAAAATTAGTCCATTTTTTAGTAAGGGATTTTTACAAAAATAGCCCGTCATATTGATTGTTTATTTTTTCTTTCATATACATAGTTTATATATTGATTATACATAATTATACACATATAATACATAAATTATGCAGATATTATACATTCACCGGCTATTAGTTTAAACAGCTGAGTGGGCGGCTATTTGGATTAATTCTTCATATAGTAACATGTCCAAGTTTATACAGGTTGGGCTATGACCCATTTGTTGACTTAACCCAACAGGTCCAACCCCAAATGATCTATCAAATGATTGGATCACACGTGTCAAAATAGTATAACCCAAGACGGTCAAAATGCAACCAAAATCCTACCATACAAAATCAAATTTGGAGATTGGTCATAATGTAAATTTGGAAGAAGTTAAAGCTAAAAGTTAAGAAAAATACATTAGTTTTCAATTATTATTTTTTCAAAAAGCAAATGAAAAAGGAAGAAATGTTGGGTCATATCGAACAGTTTGGGCTATGACCTATTACTTGACCAATCTTGACTGATTCCATTTTGGACCCTAGCAAACTCCGAAACGATCGGATCATGACCTATTTATTGACTTGACCTGTTATAATGTAATATGATCAAATTTTTATGACATTTGTCATGACATAATATTCATTATAATAAATTTGTGGTTCATGACATTTGTCAGGACATAATATCCATTATAAAAAATTTGTGGATCATGACATTTGCCATAACATAATATCCATTATTAGGCCAAGGATTTCTTGCTATAAATAGAGGAGTTTCTCCACATTTGAAAATACATCAATTCAAGAGCTTTTTACTCTTGTATTTCTTTCTCCTCCTTTATTTCATTATAGAGTATTTTGTAAGAGAGTGAGTGTTGGGAAATACTTGTGTGAACCCTTTCTTTGGAGTGATCTTGTGAGGTTATTCTCTTGGGGTATTTGGGATTAATTAGAGTATTTACTCTAATTTTGTACTCTCTTTTGTACTCTCTTGTTGGTATAGTGAAATTGCTCCTCTCTGCTTGTGGACGTAGGTCACCTTGACCGAACCACGTTAAATTTGTGTCTTCTTTATATTATTTAATTGCCATTATTATCAACTTTCATTGTCTTTGTTATTGTCATTATACCGTTATTTGGCTAAATTTCGCACTACCCGGGTTTCCGATCCTAATAAATTGGTATCAGAGCCAGATCTAACCGGATTAGTTTAAATAGCCAAAATGACTCTAACAAAGTCTTATGTTGAGAAATTTGACCGAAGTGCAAACTTCGAAATGTGGCAATTAAAGATGGAAGCTATCCTAATTCAGGATGGCTTAAATTTGGCACTGCAACGAAATGAGAAGATGCCGGATAAAATGACGAACGAGGAATTTGCCGTCATAGACAAAAAGGCAAAAGCAGGTATTATTTTAAATCTTTCAAATGAGGTTTTGCGTGAAGTTGCAGCAGAAAGCTCAGCCAAAGGCATATGAGAAAAGTTTAAAACCTTATGTATGAAAATAACAGTAAAAAACAGGCTTTACCTAAAGCAAAAACTCTACACTTTTCGTATGGCTGAAGGTACCTCTATACTTACTCATCTTGATACTTTTGATTCTCTTCTTATGGATTTAAGTAACATAGATGCTGAAATCAAAGATGAGGATCAAGCTGTGTTATTGCTTGTTTCCTTACCCCAGTCGTTTAAACATATAAGAGATACTATGCTTTATGGAAAGGATAATATCTCTTATAAAGATATCAAATCTATTTTGAAATCAAAAGAACAAATAGATAGAGATATTACTAAGAAAACTAGTGGGAACCAAGGGGAAGGCTTATTCATAAGAGGCAGATCCAATAAGAAAGATTCAAGTAGTGAGAAACCTAAATCAAGGTCAAAATCCAGATACAGAAATGTCATGTGCAAATATTGTCATAAGAAAGGTCACATTATTTCTGAATGCTTTAAATTGAAAAACAAAGAAAAGCATACAGAAAAGAAAAATGAGCACAAAAATACTGACACTGCCGAAGCAAGTGTAGCTGCTGATGAGACTGAGGGAACTATTTTTTTAGCAACTAATAATAGTTTCAAATCTAACAATGAGTGGATTTTAGATTCGGGTTGTTCTTATCATATGTGTCCCAGTCGGGATTTATTTACCACATATGAATCTATTGGAGGTGGAGTTGTCTTGATGGGCAACAATGCTGCCTGCAAAGTTATTGGAAAAGGTACAGTCCGAATCAAAATGCACGATGGTGTGGTGAGAACTCTCACCGATGTTAGACATGTTCCTGACTTGAAGAAAAATCTCATATTTTTGGGCACTCTAGAATCTCTTGGGTGCAAGTACACAGGTGAAGGTGGAGTTCTAAAAATTTCTCATGGTGCTCTTGTGATCATGAAAGCACGCAGATCTAGTACGTTGTATACTCTTTTGGGATCTACTGTTACAGGTATTGCTGCAGTTTCAATATCAGATAAATCAGATTCTGACATCACCAAATTGTGGCATATGCAATTGGGGCATATGAGTGAAAAAGGTCTTTCCATCCTCAGCAAAAGAGGTCTCGTATGTGGCCAAAGTACTGGAAATATGGAGTTCTGTGAACATTGATTGTTCAGGAAATAGAAAAGAGTCAGCTTCAAATCTCCAGCGATTCATAGAACAAAAGGTACTTTGGATTACATTCATTCAGATCTTTGGGGTCCTTCACGTACCCCATCAAAAGGTGGTGCCAGGTATATGTTAACTTTCATTGATGAAGGAAAGTTTGGGTTTATTTCCTGAAAAATAAAAGTGATATTTTCTTAAATTTCAAACAATAAATTTTTTTGATTGAGAAGCAAACAGGAAAACAAGTTAAGCGGCTTAGAACAGATAATAGCTTGGAATTTTATAATTATGAATTCAACGAATTTTGCAAGAATGAAGGAATTGCTCGACACCATACTGTGAGAATGACACCTCAGCAAAATGGTGTGGCAGAAAGGATGAATAGAACTCTTTTGGAAAGGGCTCGTTGCATGATTTTAAATGCTAGGTTGACAAACGCCTTTTGGGCAGAAGTTATCTCTACAATTTGTTATATTGTCAATCGAGCTCCTTCTGCACCTTTGAACTTTAAGACTCCAGAGGAAGTGTGGTCAGGTACTCCTGCTAATTATTCTGATTTAAAGATATTTGGTTTCCCTGCATACATGCATGAAAATGATGGAAAATTAGAGTCAAGGGCTAAAAAGTGCATTTTTTGTTTGGTGTGCATCTGGGGTGAAAGGATACCGACTATGGTATTCTGATCCCATGGCACCAAAATTTATAATTAGCAGAGATGTAACCTTTGATGAATCCTCGATGTTACATTCTAGAAATGAGTCTTGTAGTTCTTGTGATACAGATAAAGGAAAGTGTACACAAAACCCGGTGGAGATTGAGGTTGGCATTCCTTCTGAGCCAAGCTCATCAACTTTGGAGCAAAATACAGTTGAAACTCCTAAAGTTGAGACAGAAGCTAAAATTCCTGAAGTTGAGACTCCTGAAGTTGAACCAGAAGAAGAGGAGTATTCTATAACCAAACATAGACCAAGAAGAGAAGGTAAACAACCATTAAGGTTTGGAGATTATGTTGCATTTGCTTTTTCAGTTGCACAGGAAACTGAAGAAATTGGAGAACCATCAAAATATTTAGAAGCAGTTTCTGGTGCTGACTCAGCCAAGTGGCTGATTGCAATGAATGAAGAAATTGAGTCTCTCCACAAGAATGGTACTTGGTCTCTTGTGAAGCCGCCATCAGGAAAAAGAATTGTTGGTTGCAAATGGGTCTTCAAGAAAAAGGATGGCATTCCAGGGGTTGAAGATGCGAGGTATAAGGCACGATTAGTTGCAAAGGGCTATAGTCAGGTACAAGGAGTTGATTTTAATGATATTTTCTCACATGTTGTTAAACATAGCTCTATTCGTGTCTTGCTTGCCTTCGTTGCCATGTATGATTTGGAATTAGAACAACTTGATGTTAAGACAGCTTTCTTACATGGCAAACTTGAGGAACAAATATACATGCATCAACCCGAAGGATTTGAAATTGAAGGAAAAGAAGATCATGTTTGCTTGTTGAAGAAATCCTTGTACGGATTAAAGCAGTCTCCAAGACAATGGTATAAAAGGTTTGATTCCTTTATGTTGGGTCATGGTTATTCGAGGAGCATGTATGATAGTTGTGTTTACTTCCGGAAGTTAAATAATGGTTCATTTGTGTACCTATTATTATATGTTAATGACATGCTCATTGCTGCTAAGGATTTAACAGAAATTTACAATTTGAAAAGTCAGCTGAAAGGTGAATTTGAGATGAAAGATTTGGGAGCAGCTAAGAAAATCCTTGGCATGGAGATCAAAAAAGATCGAAAAGCCAACAGGCTATTTCCTGACCCAGAAGAAGTACTTGGAGAAAGTCTTGGAGAAGTTAGTACCCCTCTTGCTGCTCATTTTAAGTTATCAGCTGCTCAGTTCCCGCAGTCACAGGAAGAAGAGAGGTACATGGCACAGGTTCCATATTCCAGTGCAGTCGGCAGTATTATGTATGCAATGGTTTGTACACGTCCAGACATTTCACAAGCAGTGAGCGTGGTAAGCCGGTATATGGCTTGCCCTGGTAAAGCACATTGGCATGCTGTGAAATGGATTCTCACATACTTGCGAGGTACTTCAAATACATGTTTGGAGTTTGGGAGAAATACTAACACTTTGGTTGGTTTTGTAGACTCAGATTATGCAGATGATCTTGACAAAAGAATATCACTGATAAGCTATGTATTTTGCATCGATGGTTACGCTATTAGTTGAAAAGATACATTACAACATGTAGTAGCTTCATCTACTACCGAAGGAGAATATATGGCAGTGACCGAGGCGATCAAAGAAGCTTTATGGTTGAAAGATCTATTTGCGGAACTCAATTTACACCAAGGTGGTATTACCATTTTCTGTGATAGTCAAAGTGCTATTCACTTGACTAAAGATCAAATATATCATGAGAGGACGAAGCACATTGATATAAAGTATCATTTCATCCGAGAAACCATTGCTGAAAGAAAAGTCTCTGTTCAGAAGATCAACACTAGAGACAATCCTACTGACATATTCACAAAACCTCTTCGAGTGTCCAAGTTCAAGCTTTGCCTGAACTTGATTGGTATTTATGAAGAATGATTTTGTCCATTGGGGTTTTTGCGGAGAATGTGGAGCAAATTTACTATATATAAGCCGAAATTAGGCCAAGGTGAAGATTTGTAATATGGTCAAATTTTTATGACATTTGCCATGACATAATATCCATTATAACAAATTTGTAGTTCATGACATTTGTCATGACATAATATCTATTATAACAAATTTATGGATCATGACATTTGCCATGACATAATATCCATTATTAGGCCAAGGATTTCTTGCTATAAATAGAGGAGTTTCTCCTCATTTGAAAACACACCAATTCAAGAGCTTTTCACTCTTGTCTTTCTTTCTCCTCCTTTATTTCATTATAGAGTATTTTGTAAGTGAGTGAGTACTGGGAAATACTTGTGTGAACCCTTTCTTTGGAGTGATCTTGTGAGGTTATTCTTTTGGAGTATTTATGGATTAGTTAGAGTATTTACTCTAATTTTGTACTCTCTTTTGTACTCTTGTTGGTATAGTGAAATTGCTCCTCTCTGCTTGTGCACGTAGGTCACCTTGACCGAACTACGTTAAATTTGTGTCTTCTTTATATTCTTTAATTGCCGTTATTATTAACTTTCATTGTCTTTGTTATTGTCATTATACCGTTGTTTGGCTAAATTACGCACTACCCGGATTCCCGATAACATATAACACGTCCAAATTTGATCAAAACCGGCCATTTACCTGTTGATATGTTCACTAACTGCAACAAGAACTTTGCCAGCCATATGACCACATTTCTTAGTCACAGATGACTGGTCCTCAATGTGCACGCCAGCAGCGCCGCGCTCCACAAAAAGCTTGCAGAGTTTCACTGTAGTGGTGGCGCCACCAAAACCAGTATCTCCATCAGCAATGATTGGCTTTAAGTAATCGATAAACGGAGTTCTAGCCCTATCCTCTCTGCTCATGCTCATTCTAGCCTCCCTTTGTTTTCTGTCATGGTATTGTTGAGCCATGAATAGGTGTTCAACTTTGTTAGGGACAGTGCCATAAGGATAATCAGCAAGATATGGACCTGGATAAGATGTTACAAAACTTAAAACATGAGAATAAAGATGACTGTTACAATTTTTTAAACTGGAAATTAAGTTCTATAGTTACTACATTTAAACTTGAGAAGCAAAAATATTAAACAACAAATATGTTGGTCAAGTATTGTAACAAATACATATGGCATGTTTGCTACATATGGCATGTTTGCTATCCTTCACATGTCACCTTGTCTTCCTTCTTCAAATCATTGTTTCTTCTTTTTACAATTTCTTAATGCTTTATTCGAAGGGGAGCCTTGGACAAACGGTAAAGTTGTCTCCGTATGATCAATAGGTCATGAGTTCGAGCCGTGAAATCAGCTACTGAGACTACATAAATCACACTCCCTTGGGATACGGCTTTTCCTCGAATCCTGCGTGAACGCGGAATGCTTCGTACACCGAACTGCTTAATGCTTTATTCCTTTTAATGTGGTAGAAGAAATCAAAAGTGGATTTTTTGATTTCTTATTATTCATTATACATTGGATATAATTTCTAACTAACTACTTGTTTCTTGTGGGAAAATTAATATTCTAACGAATGTTTTCCAGGAAACACCATACCTAAAATCTATTCCTATATTTATATACAACAATCTGTTGCACATTTGAACTCTCTAATATTATTTTCAAAGAATACTAATCCCTCCATACCAATTTATGTAGCGGGGTTCGGATCTCGAGAGGCAAACTTCTTAATTTTGACCGTCAATTAGGACATAAAATTCTTCAAGTTTTTTGAAATAGAATTTACATATTTGAAAACTACGCAAAACATACTACAAATCACAATAATTAACAATTTAAAATATTTAAAAGACATGAAAAAATCACAATAAAAAGAAAACTCGTTTGACTTTCAAAGTCTGAACACCACCATATAAATTGAGACAGAGAGAGTATATAAAAAAGAGAAAGTGCACTAAGCTCCCGCTATGCGCGAGGTCCGAGAAAGGACCGGACCATAAGGATTTATTGTATACAGTCTTACCCTACATTTTTGCAGGAGGCTGTTTCTACGGCTTGAACCCGTAACCTCTTGGTCACATGGCAATCTAGTTACGCCAAGGCTCCCCTTAATATAAAAAAGAGAAGAAGATTAGTATATTACCTGGTTCATTGGTGGAGGTATGAGTAGAGGAACACTGCCAACCAGAAACATAAATAGAGTCCAAAACTAAGCTCTCTTTGTTAGCTTGAACCTCTCTATCTTCCACCATGCTTCTACCTCTGCTACTTCTGCTTCAAACCTTCCTTCTTCTTCCATAATCTTTACATGCAAAATTAAAAATTTCTTACCAGATCAGCTCACTTAAAAGTTTAGTAGTTTTTTTACGTATAGAATTATGAGATTAATAATCTAGAAAATACCAATGACAACAGATTAAAATGTATTAATAGTTTTATATCATTAATATTAAATCCAAACAAAATAGGCTAAGAAATAAAGCAAAGAAAGAAGAGTAAAATAGAACAAAAATGTTAAAAGGAACAGAATTTCTCTTAGTGGTTTATCTTACCATTGAAGGGACTGAGTAAGATGCAGCCATGGTTAGAACTTTATATTTTCTATTTGTGTACACCAAGTGTTGATACAATTGCTAGCTAGGAAGAATTGCTAATGAAATGGTCGAGGCAAGGGACTCAATTTATAGTAGTAAAAAGAGTGATCATATACCTTAAAATTGATGCCAAAAGAAGAGATAAGAAAAGAAGAAAATACAATAAATTTCCACATCATTTTTCCAATTAATTTAGATCTAAATTATCTGTTTATTTATTATTCATGAAGATAAAATTGAAGCTGGCTACAAAGTGTAGAGATCGAGGTGATAGTTGGAGGTTCTTCTCCCTTTACACATTTTGTTTCTGCAAATTGCAACCAAATGTTTGTCCGTTTCCATTTTTGATGACCTCACTCTTTTCAAATTTTTTTCCTCTCCCACTCTTTATAATTGTAACTACTTGTGTTTTTCTTTCTAGACTAGATTTCTTCCTGCTGCTCCATGCCTNTCTAGAAAGTTAGTTCCTTTGTTCCAATTTATGTGACGTGATTTCAAATCGGAGTCAAACTATCTAATGTTTGGTTTGAATTCAGATATAATTTTATATATACTTCCTCCGTTTTAATTTATTTGAACCCATTTGACTGGGCACGGAGTTTAAGAAAAGAGAGAAGACTTTTGAATTTGTGGTGTAAAATGAGGCACATATATTTTGTGTGGCTATAAATTATTGCATAACGGTAAATTGTTTCTAAATATGGAAAGGGGTCATTCTTTTTGGCATAGACTAAAAAGTAAATAGGTTCACATAAATTGAAACAGAGGAAGTATATATTAAGAAATCACAAAGAATTAATAATATCGAACAGTGTTATTATGAGGTATGGTCATTCCTCATAATCACATTTCTAAAAATGTGAAACAGATAAGATAAGGTTTTGTTAAAACTAAAAAGATAGACATTTGCAAAAAAAGTTAAACAAAAAAGATACATCGGTTTACAGTTTGAGGGAATACCAAACCTGGTTAAAAGAATTTTGGCTTATTTTCTCAATTATCTATCTATTTACTTGGTAAAGGATGTGGAAAAGCTAAAAATAAGGGGAAGAAAATTGAGCTAATAATCAAGGAAAAGTAAGAGATTAGAGAGTTCAATGTTAGATTTGATTTCGGGTCAGAATATCAAATGTTATAATCTTCTTAAGAACTAACCAATTAGAAGTAAACCACATTTTTATGGAGTTATTAAAATTGAAAAACTATAAAGACTAGGCCAATAGAAGTTCAAATATAATTAAGAATGACTATTTATTTATTATTTATTTATCTTTGAAGGGATACCCAAAAAAAAGAAGTTGAGTATTAAATTTTTGTTTTCTTCAATTTTCCCAGATTAGCTGGGAGTTGTATTTCATCATAGCAAAGGAATACAAGAGGGGATATATCCTTGACCTCCAAAATCCAAAATACAACAAATCCTTCACAAAAAAGGCATGGTGAACAATTCGTGTGGATCCCATACCCCATATAGAGAAATAAATTAGCTAACAAAAAAGTTGGCATTATCAAGCTTAGTTCTAACGCTAGGCATTTGAGTTTTATCCAACTGAAAAGGTCCTTTAGCTCCTTTAGGAAGTTGTTGAAAGGTAAAGAAGTATGACTCCATAGTAGATGTGGATGCTAGTTTAGCAAGGTAGCAATGCAATATGTTGACATTTACTTCCTCTAGCATCTGAGAGGTACTTTCAATGATGTTATTCATTTTGTAATTGTTGGCCCTTTACTCTTTCAGCATGTTGGCTACAATCAAAGAATCCGGTTCCAAGAAAAAATCTGTGTATCCATTTTGAACACACCAATTGATTCCAAACCATGTTGCCTGAGCTTCAATGTAGTTGTTACTATTGCCTTGAGTTGAAACAGAAAAGGCCATGATCAGATCTCCCTCGTCATCCCTGAGAATTCCTCCCATACCAGCTTTCCCATTTTCCTTCCGTGTTTAGCTTAAGAGAGCCCTTTTCAGGCTTATTCCAGGTGACAATAGTAATCTTTGGGACTGGTTGTAGCTTAAGCATAGTGTCGCAGTACGTAGTCCATGGAAATGGAATATTGCAGCTAGGAAAGACCTTCGAAACAGCTGCTCCAATTGTCCATAGTACTTGCTGCTCCATTTTGAGTTGGCTGAATTTCTTTTGGTCGCCATATTTACACGAGCATCTTTCTTTCCAAATTGCCCAGCATATAATAATGGGAGCAATTTGGAGCACCAACCTATGTATTGCATTAATTTTCTTGCCCTGCCACCGATTGTTAATAGTATATCTAACTGACCTTTGGTGATGTATTATTCTGAGTGGTGAACCTATTAGTTTTCAAATATAACTAGTTGCATCTCCTTCCATGAAAACATGATCTATGGTTTCGGTTTTAGGATTAGTACAACAGTTACATCTCGAAACCATTTGTTTACCAAAGTTGATTAACACATCATCAAATGGTAGTTTTCTATACCATAATCTCCAATTAAGAAATAAATTATTAAATGCGATGGAAGAATGCCATCCCTTGCTTTGTAACTACTCCTTATGTTTGCTACTTCTGATAATTTGCATTGCATACTTGTTGGAGTAAGTTCCATCTTGCGTAAAGTCCCAGTAAATTTTATCTGGTGATAAGCTCCTCCCTATCTCAATCTCCTTTATGTGCTGAACCATAGAGCTTGGAAGGATGTCATGGAGTTTATTGATATTCCATTCCCCATTCTGAATAAAGTCCTTGACAAAGATCTTTGGACTTTTATATGTACCCAGGGCCAGATTTGCAAGAGGACCTTTACAAGACCAATTGTCCCACCAGAAACTACAATTCTCTTAGTTTATTTGCCACACCATATGAAATTCTGCATTGTTTCTTACTTTAATCAGATGTTTCCAAGAATGAGAGTTACCGGATGCCCATTGTTTAGCTGCTGGATGAGCTCTAATACAGTACTTATTCTTCATAAAGTTCGCCCATAGAGATGGTGTAGTTCCAAACCTCCACCATCTTTTTGTGACTAGAACGTCACTAATGTCTTCTATTTTCCTAATTCCTATGCCTCCTTCATTAGTAGAAAAGCATAAATTCTTTCAAGATCTCCAATGATATTTCTTATGATCACCATCTGTGCCCCGAAAGAAATTGGCAAAGTGTTTCAATGAGGCGAAAGGTTGCTTTGGGAGGACACATAGCAGAAAGGGTATAAATAGGAAGCGATTGCAATACACTATTAATAAGAACCAATTTTCCTCCATGGAAAAGTATTTTTTCATGCCAACCATTAAGTCTTTTTATCACTTTGTGAACCATGTTGTCAAAATAAGCAACTTTCTTTCTGCCTATATAAAGAGGACAACCAAGATAGTTAAAAGAGAATTCTTTGTCCATGAAACCTGTACAATCCTTCGTTCTATTAATTCTGAGAGCACATGTGTTAGGAGCAGTCAAAAAGAAACTTTTATCCGTATTGACCAGTTGGCCAGAGCTTCTCTCATAATCGTCAATCACTTTCATAATCATCTTAATAGAGGTGTTATTACCACTACTGAAGATAATAATATCATCAGCATATGCAAGATGGTTAATAATCAGCCCCCTACGAGGCATAGAGAATGGAACGAAATTGTCATTTTGATTAAGATTATTCAGAGATATTGAGAGGACATTGGCAGCAAGAATAAAGAGAGAGGGGGATAGGGGATCCCCCTGTTTTAAGCCCCCGTGAAGAGGTAAAGAAACCAACTCTTGAACCATTAATGATAATTAAATACCACACTCTAGAAATAATATTATGAATTAAATCAATCCAAGATTCTGAGAAACCATATCTCCTGAGAACCGATGTGACAAAGGACCAAGACATTCTATCATAGGATTTTACCATATCTAATTTGATAACAATATTGCCCCAAGAGTTCTTCTCGGAGATATTATGAATAATTTCTTGGGCAAGAAGAACATTTTCAGTGACCAATCTATCTTTCACAAAGCCAGTTTGGTTGTCACAAATTAATTTTGAAAGCATAGGATTAAGTCTAAGAGAGAGTACTTTGGAGATAATTTTGTTGGTAAAGTTGGAAAGGCTGATAGGCCGGAACTCTGAGAAACTTGTGGGTGTATCAATTTTTGGGATTAAAATAAGGCAAGTATGTGAGTAGAACTTGGTAAGATTTTTACCATTGAAGAAATCCCTAACAAAGGCAATAACATCTTGCTTGATAATATCCCAGCAATGATGAAAGAAAGTACCATTGAACCCATTTGGACCAGCAGTGCTATCAGCACTATAGATGAAGATTGCCTCATTAATTTTCTCTTCATTAGGGATAGCAGATAGCATGATATTATCCTCATCGGATATGCAATTAGGAATACAGTTCAAAATATCAGGATTGATGGTAGGCTTAGGGAGATTGAACAGAGATTTAAAATGTTTGACAGCAGCTTTAGCAATGTTCTCTTTTCTTTGGATCCATTTCCCTTATGATTCTTGATCCTATGGAGCTGAAGTTTTCTTCTCTTTTCTCTCAAAAGACTATGAAAGTACCTTGTATTACTATCTCCATCTTGAAACCATTTGGTTTGAGTTTTCTGTTTGAGTAGAGACTCGTGCATACTCAACCATTTTATATATTCAGCATGCGCCTTGTTAGCATCAGCCCTGCTATTACCAGAGT